TATATATATATATATATCGATTGTAAAGCATATTGTATTATAAACGATGCTTAAAAATTAGGTTAGCTGCGATTGTACGATAAAGATACGGACATTAATAAATTTTGTTACCCATAGCAGGAAATTATTTATTTTGCTTTAAATCATTATGCAAAACGTTTCTTCACAATATAATATGTTAGTACAGAAACCATTTTGTTTTAACAAGAAAAAAATCCGTAAAATATTATTGTTTTCACATGAAGAAAATCTCATTACCAAACTATTTAATGTTCAAGTTTTACTTCCCCCTTTACTTCAAATTTCATCTTCAGGGTTTCTTACATCAAATGAATTTAAAAATAATCATTGGATACGATGCAAGGAATTCTTATAATTATTATAAATGTTCTCGATTTATAAAATTGTATCCAGAATCCTTCTTTGTGATAAATATTCTAATCACTTATAGTTAAGAATGAAAGAATTGTAGATCTTTAAACCAACATTGCATTTTCCAATTTCTAAGATTAATTCCTTGTACTAAGTCAAGTTTAATTGACGCAAAGAATAATTTGCATTAAGTAAAATTCCCCATTCCATCACTCTCGGTTTTTTTTGTTAATGATTAATCATGATTTAGCAATATACCTATTTTTATTGAAAGATATGCATTCATTTCAAATTTAAACGAACGTTTTGAATAAGGAATATATAAATGTAAAAACTAACGGGAAATCATAGGTAATTATCGTTTACTAAATATAGAGAAAGGCATTTATGTTACTCTTATAAAATATTTTAAGTTATTATTAAGTCATTGTTATTATTTCCCCCATTCCATCATTAAAATTGCAAATTATCTGTAAGGATATGACATTTATATTTTATATCGCTTTTATTTGTCCTTGACTATATGGGTAAAAGACAGTTTTTCAATTTTAACAATAAAGGTAGTTTAGTTTTGAAAAATTTCCAATTTTGGAGTTATTACTTGGAATAATCATGTTCACGAAGTATAATTTATAATGTTTTTATCCTACTAATTGTTATCGTAACAATATTTATCTTCCTATTTTAAACATAAATATTTCCGTAGATTTCTTAAAAATAAATTAATTATTTAGTATATAATAGCCTTATTTCACAAAAATAAAAATGGGATATTAATAATGTTAGATTATTGCTTGTTATATATTGCTTGTTGATTGTTATGATTCACCACAAAGCATATACATATTTTTTGCACTTTAATTTCACATAAATATTTATAAATAGCAGAAACCATCAACTACATTTTACATGCAAAAAAGTTTAAACTTTAGTTGAAATTCTGCACTATTTCACTGCATGATATTTCTTGGTCTTGCCATTTTTGAGTCAGTGCGACTAGTATTCGTTATTTATTTGGGAAAATTATTCATTCGAATTGTCCTACATAAAAATTTTAGTTATGAGCATATTCAATAGTACTTTATCACAAAATTAAAAGTATTTTTCAGAATTTGAAAGTTTGGCAGGTTTATAGCTATTTGAAATGAAACTTATATTGAAAATGACCTTCCTTTGACCGCAAATAAAACCGAATCCTTAGAAAAAAAACTGAACAGATTAAAACTCACTTATTTTAAAAAATTTAATTTAAATTCAATTAATTTCATTCTATTATTATTTCCCTTTTTATTTACCTTAGGATGCATTCTTTTATCTTAAAAGTTAAAAGGTGTATACTTTCAGTAAGATTTAAAAATTATACATTATATATTGCGTAATTGACAAAAATCGTAATTTGTTTTATTGAAATGTTTCATTTTTTATATATGCTTAGTATTTGTAAAAATTTCAAATATGTTAATTTGATTAGCTTATTCATAATTGTTAAAAAAGATGATCAGAAATTCCAGAAATCATGTAATTTGAGTGCACACAAAATATTTGAATACGCACATTTTATAATTTTTACAGGCCATTATAATTTATACATTTTTATATAAATTATAATTTATAATTGATGTATTTCACAATCAGATTCCATGTGACTATGTCTTCATTAACAGAAATGGTGACAAGAATATAATAATCATAAAATTATGGTCGGTACTTATCAGGTAAAACATAACTTGATTTCTTCTTAAACGCTTCAAAATTCATTACCATTCTTATCAATGGAAAGAGATCAGTAAACTATGAAAAACTGAGAAACAATGTTTTCAAATCAACCGCAAACTTCACGAAAACGTTGTGCAATTGTTTGGTAGGTTAAAAGCATATGACAATGCAGTAGTAAAATATTGATTTATAATTTTTCCAGTTAGTGGCGCCATCTGTTGAAAAAGTTTATTACTAAATTTGGAATTTGGTGAGATAAAAAGAAACATCTTTTCAAAGGAAAATGCAGAAAACCTTTCATTTCTTCTTTATTTCGTTCTTAACCACTAATTTCTTTCATATTCTTTTTTTTAAATTGGTCTTTCAAATCAGCGACTATTTTTCAGATATTCGGTAGTATAAAAATTGTAATCCAATAATATTAAAATATCGCTTTGTTTAAGAACACATATTAATGATACAAACTATAAAAAAAATGACAAATATTTAACGTTTTATATAAGCTTGACTCGGCTAATATGTTTAGATGATGTTTCATAAAAAATATCTTTCACAAAATATGTGTAATTTATAATTGAAATTGAAATTTTTATTTTTGTAGACACAATTCACTCTAAACTATAACGTGTCTTGCAAACAAGAAAGATATTTCGAAGATGCTTCTACATATAGACCCGAAAGATGGTTAAGAAATGAGATGGGCAAGAAAATTACACCAGACTCATTCGCTTTCCAACCTTTTGGATTTGGACCAAGAATGTGCATTGGCAGAAGAATTGCTGACCTGGAAATGTTGACACTCCTCACTAAGGTTTAATTTATATTATTTTATATAGTTAGTCATGCATATCTTGATATCTAAATATTTAGATTATGAAAAGGAAAGGAACAAGAATTGAAAACAAAGATATAACTTCAGAAATGAATGTTTTACGAATCATTTTCTAAACTTTTTGTACTAAATCTAAAAAAAAGTTTAAATAATCAAAACGTGTTTACATTTTGTTCCTTGAATGACTAAATTAGATTCCTTGAATGACTTAATTATTAACTTAAATTAGTACTTCTATAAGAAATCTAAAAATATTTACTTTCATCAACAACTGTTCCTGATATTAATTTTTTGGACACCGGCGTCATTATATAAAAAGTTTTTTCAAACGTTCTAAATGAATTGGTACTCACAATTGGTATTTTTTAACTATGAAAAAACAGTGTAATAGTTACTAAAATAAATCTGCTAGATTAACGGAATCATATTTGATAGTGAAATATAAAATCCAAAAAAGTTGTTTGAAAAAAAATTTTTTTTTTCATTTGCATTAAAAAAATATCAATAATTGATTTTGTAAATTAAAAAATTCTCAATGATCTATAACTATTTCAATGATCAATAACTATTTCTCGTAAATCTAAATGACGACAATTAAGTGTAAATTAGAAAAAATATTGTTTGGAAGTGAGCTGTGTTTGGAAAATTTTACCTTTAATGCAAAGAAAAAAAAAAGAAAAAAAAGAAGGAAAGAAGAAAAAAAAATAACACGAGTGTCTTATATTGTATTTCATGAGCATAAATTGATAAATTGATAATTACAATATTTTTTTAAATCTCATTTTGACCTAAATTAATATAAAATAATGAAAAAAGCTTGAAAAATATGCTTAATAAAAATGCCTGTGTAAGGGGCAGGGAACTGTCCTTGCATCAGAAAGGTTCTGGGTTCGAATCCCGAGCAATGCATGGATTTTCTTTCCTTATCTGTCCTAACTGTGGGTATTCCTTCTTTCTATGTTCACATAATTTGCTTTAAAATTTAATTACTTTTGCAATTTACATGGTATTTACCTCAGTAGAAAGAATTTATTATTTTACTTAAGTATTAGTTTTACCACCCCGCTCCTCTTGCCAGCAAAAATTAATAAATAACAAGCATGTGTTATAAAAATGTTTATGCGTATGCTTTAATTTATTTATTTAGTTTAAATTTATAAGTTTTTTTTAGTTCAAGTTCTAATTATAAATAGCACATGGGTTTAAACTTCCTACTAAGAATACTAAAATAATTATCTCTATTTAAAATTTAATTTGATTTATGCGATAGGTATTTTGTATTTAGTTTACATTAATGCAATATGTCGTTGAATTATGAAATATAAAAATTTCATGACATGAAGCGAAAATCTCAATAAAAGTTCGTTCAACTATACTTTTAGATGTAAGAAGGTTTAAATTAAGAATCCAAAAAATATTTAATATTTTTCCTAAAAAGAAAAAAACAAATAGAGAATTTAATCATTATCTTGAAAAATAATCAAGCGGGATATTTCTCTTTTTACGTTGCTTTTATTATTTCTGAAACCGTTCTAAAAACAAATATTTAAAAAAAATATTCGCATATTTCTTTCGATTCCTACAAAATCTCAAGCTTTTGAATTCCATGTCAAAGTTGATGCTTTCAGTTTTAAAGGAGATTTTAGAAGGCATTCAAGTTTTCAACATGTCAAATGAGATTTCCAAGAAAAGAATTCTAATGGAATATTTTAGGGAATAGACCAATGCTATTTAGTATTCTAAGGCAAAAATATTCCAAATAAATTTTGGTATTTGATTTATTAGAAGAAGAATTATTAATTTGAAAAAAAAATGCCAATAAAATATCAGATAATTAATTAAGAATTTGAAGATAAAAGTAAGCCTAAGAATTAATTATAATTTGCATTAGATTTAAGTCTATTTAGATAAGAACTAATCACAAATATTAAGTTGTTCTGAAAGTTCATGTCAATTTTCAATCTTAGTGTAGGGACAGTTATGAACAAATCAGAATGGTAATCTGTAATAAATGAAAGCAAGAGGCATGCGCACTTATTTGTAAAGACAAAATACAGAAAAGTACTGTTCTCAATTATATTAATCTTAGACAACAAAGGGACAATAACGTCTAAAAATAGTGAAATGGAAGAACGTCGAACTACATCCCAACAATGTCTAGCTTGATTTTAAGAACTCGATAAAGTTTCTGAAGCTCATAACTGGGATGTTTAAACTCATCCAACATATCACAAGGCTTTGAGTTTTCATATTTCGAGCCATTTTGTGATGGAAAAAGCTTCAATTCTTTAATCGGGATTGAAAATCACGTAGAAAAGTTCATCAACTGAAAACCTGAAAGTTTTAAGAAATGCAAAATTTTTTGAATTGCCTGAATGACGAAAAAAAAATTGATGAACAGAATNGGGCCCTCATTGGGCCAATACTCATGAATCTTAGCTCAGTAAGGGTTCAAAGGGCCTTTATTTTTCAATATTGGCCCTATCTAGAATTTTCCGATTCATCCAATATTTTACAGCTACTTTACAACAAATATCGATCCTATAGAAAACTGTCAGATTCACCCGATATCTTAGATCCATTATTCAGCCAATGTTGGTTCTACATTGGCCAATGTAGGACATTCTAGGACCAATATTAAAAAATCTAGACATCCCAATATCGGTCCCTCGATGCATGTTCTTATAGGATCCATATCGAGCCAATTTTGTGGGGCCAAGGTGAAATTGTTGCTAGGGTAATGTAAGCTTCTTTAAAACTGTAAAATTCTATTTTCAGTAAGAAAAATTAAATAATTCGGTTAGAAGATCATTGTACAAACACGTTACTTTTTTGCAATAAAACATGTGGCTTAATTGATGTTTTTTTATCTTTGTATTTTCAGATAATGCAAAACTTTTGGATTGAAAATAAAAGCTCAGAGCTGGATGTCAGATTTCAGCTTGTTCTAATGATTGCAAGTCCTCTTCGATACGAATTTCATGAGCGTCGCTAACATTGAAAAATACTTGGAAAGCTCTAATATGAATAAAGGAGCTAACATTGAAGAACCATTACTTGGACCAATTTTTTATGTCCCTGGCAATATTTTCTAACCATGACTTGATAACATTCACAATTTGTATAAATGTGCATTCAGGATAAATGAATATTTTATACTTACTGACATTATTCGAAATTAAGTAAATTTTATTTTTAATATTTCGAATAATTAAGAATAATATTTGTATATTTCATACCGTATAAAATCTAAATTTGGTGAATGTTGATATTTTTTTATTATTATCTCACCATAAGCTGCGATTCGAGAATTTGTACATCGCAATATGGATATGATTCTGAAATATTTTCTTACAAAAATTCATCTTCGTAGAAATAAAACTATTTACATATTTACTACAGAAACAGATTCAAAACTTAACAATTTATCAATTTAATGCCACTATTTTGTTTAAGGTTTGAAAAACGATTGCATTGTTTGTACTATATGAAGGTACCGGAGTTGAACTTGAAAGATAATTTCTTAATGTATTTGATGTTTCATATTTGTTTTTCCTATTTGCCCAACATTAAAATAACATAAAAATTTTTTATAGTTTGTTTAAACATTATTTAACTACTTATATAAACTTAATAATTTCAGATATTAAAACTAACAATTTGTTGATCACATTTTAAAATAATTTTAGTTTAAGTAAAGTAAATGCTTAAGAATTACTATTCTGAAAAAGTAATCTTTTAATTTTTCAGCAGGCATGCCTTTTTTAGCAAGTAGAAAGTTCACATTTCTTTTCTAGGTAGTACATCATTATAGAATGTGAGTTTTTGAAAATGCAAATATTAAAATTATATTATACTTTTTACGCTCTTAAAAATTTGCAAGAGGTATCAAATCTGGTGTCTTTTGTTGAAATTTGTATTTGTTACTTCACTCTTTTGTGCGACGACTTTAACCAATTCATTTGGTTTTCATTAACTATCACCAGTTTAATATTTCATTAAGCTAGATTACGAAAAATTCAATGCAAGAAACTCTGGGCAAGTGAATACGGGGAAATAGCTCTTAACCTTAAAAAACATCAGTGTAGTGAATATCGAGCAATTGTATTACGATTAATTGCTCCCATCTTTGCAAAGTTATTTTCCTGAGTTATCCACTTATTATAAATGATGCATGGTGATAGATAATAATAACCTCGACTTTTGGTATATATGACAAAATATGTAGCCTTTGGCAAAGTATTTTACAATAAGAGGCGATAAAATAGCCAGTCTAGCAGCTGGCTGATTTTCTATGGATAATGTGGGAAAGGAAGGAAGAATTTTCTTTAAAATCTTATTTTCTAATGAATCGAACTAGACAACCTTTTCACCTTGCACTCTTTGAAAGATTAAATTATTTTACAAATAATCTTAGTTATAAATAAATAAAAAATTGATGCTAGTCTTTGTTTCGTTTGAATGAATATATTATTTCGATATATATTATTAAATATGTTTTAATAAATAAAAGAAATAACAGTTTTCAAAAGATGCTAAAGTAAATGTCTGATGTTTAACAAAATGAAAAAGGAACGCAATCCCTAATGTATTAAATAAGACAAAAATCTTACATCCCTAAATACGTTTACTCATATTTTTGTTTTCATTAAAAAATTCATTAACTATTCTGCTAACTTAAACAACTTCATCGCACTTTTCATTTGAGACATTAAAAGATTGTTTGAAAAAATATAAACTTTTTTATTAAGAAAATATGACTAACTAGCACTAATAAGAAAGTAAAATAAATCTTTATTTGAAAATGTAAATATGTAAATAAAAATACAAATATAGCAATATAATACCATCGAATTAAATTGTATTATAGTAAAAAATACAGTATTAATTTTTGTTTTATTACACATTTTCAAAGTTTATTATTGTTCAATAATTAATATTTCTTTAACTATATTGCACTTAAAGTACTTTATAAATGTACTTATTGATGATAGCCATTTTTAATTTGTGCCATTTAAGTTACTTAAACGGCACAAATATTTTATTGTAATTTAACTTATCAATTAATAATATCAATTCTTATTTGTTGTCGTTTTGAATATTTAATTGTCTTTTCTGAAATTGTTATGCTACACAAACAAAAATATATTTTATTTTGTTGTGTAATGAATATATATATTAAAGTATTTGTAAATAAAGTTTATGTTTGTATGTAGTTGATATTTTTCATTATTATTATTTATTTCATCAAATTACTGCAAGACAAATTCGAAACTTCTTTTATTAGAGTTTTTTTATCAGTTTTATCAGTGATAAAATATTTTTTTGGCTGTTGTAAATGAGTGTTATCTAAAAAGAGTATCTCAGTTTATTTGATTTAATTAAAGCATGAGGAATATTCACTCAAAAGTATATTCTCACTCTTTTAAATAAATATCACTAAGGAATGCAGTATAATTAATGGTATTCCACTAAGGGTGTTTGGCAATCTCTACTCTTAAATTATATTTTTTTAAATTCCTCTTTAAATCAAATTTAAAGAAAAACATTCACATTATTTACCATGCAAAAATATTTTAGCTAATGAAAGAAGAAAAAAACGTTCGCGAAATCTGATGAATCACTATTGAAAATAACGGAGTTAAAAAGCATAAAAATCAGTTTGATTTCTGGAGGTCTTCTTTCCTGATAGTCTCCTTTCTTTCTTCCGAGTTTCCCTTGGCAATCAAACAGATTTTGACGCTTCTAATCATGCTTTTATCGATAATGATTGGTCAAATTATGATAAAGCTTAATTATTATTACAAAAACTTTTGGACCATAGTGGCATTTTTTAGATTTTTATTCAGAAAAGGGCTTAAAACGTATTTATCAATGGCGGTGATTACAAAACCACTTTTTAGTCATAAATCAATTTCGTTTCTACTTAATTTATATGTTCTTTACTAAGCCTCAGCTTAACTTGCTATGCTATAAATACAGTAGACAAAAAAGCTCCGTGTTTAGGCTGGACATCAGGGCTCGTAAAACCACCCGTCCGACCGTCCTCGGTTGTCAAAAATTCCTAGCGGACAACAAATTTCTCGAATCCGACGTCCGCGTGGACGGCCATTTTCCCGTTAATATTCGTGATACATTTTGTCATCTCACAATCTTTTTTGAAGGAGTAGATAAGGAAAAATTTTCTCAAGAATGGGTGACATTAAAATTTTAGATACATAACATGGTTAAACACCAGAAAACTTCAGCCCTCCGAGCCCAAGCTGTTTATAAAGACCTTATGCAGCAAAATGACCCACAATACAGCAACATACTGCGCATGGTGGAATTGATAAACAAGAAACGTTAAACGAAATTATGAAAATCTACCTAAATGGAAAACCCCTTTCAGATTTCTGTGCAGAAACCTCTGTAAATCATTGGCTTGATTGTGGAACTGACAAACGTCATATTTGATTCATTTAAAAACGCAGTACCTACTCTCGGATAAATTGACATTCCAGATAACTTGACCTTTGCCATTTAAATTATTTCATAAAGGAAATAAATTATTTCGAAAAAGAAATACTAGGTTACTATTAGTAATCTAGTATTTCTTTTATTACTGTATAATGTAATCCTAGTAACTACTAATTCATTGTACAATTTTATTAAAATATTTGTAATAAATAAGAGAAAATTATATTTTTATTTATTTAGAAACTAAGGGTTTGTTTCAAAGGAGGACGGGTACATTGTTGGACAAGCCGTCCTCGGAGACGGGTAAAATTTCTGAGTTTTTTCGAGCCCTGCTGGACATATCTAAATTGAATACTTGCAATTAATCTCATCATTATGAATGTCGTGTTAACGTTACAGCTTTAGGACTTAGGCTCATAATCACATTGAACTAATTTCCGAATCATATTTAATACACTACCACCAAGCAACGTCATGCTTGTGGTCGAACCTAACTGACTGACCTAAGCGTGATCTAAAATCTGAAAATCTGGCATAAGTAATTTGCGACAAACTAAAATCATGGAGAAAGTTCAAATTCTTATAGAGTCTTAAGATCCATTTTTTTGGTTAATTAAGCAGAAAAAATATAATAAATTTTTTGCGGATATCACCGTTGAAACTTTTCTTTCTTGCTTTTTTTTAAAACCTTCCTCTGTGTATTTGACGGTTTAAAGCTGTTTTGTTACCAAAACGGTTTTTCTCTATTTTTCCTCCTAATCATAAACGATTAAAGCGGTCAGTTCAAATTCTAGTTTCTGCCAAACAGTTTGCTTACTATAACTCTACATTAAAAAAAAAAAATAATTTTACAATTAATTTCTTAATGTGCTCTTACTTTTAAGCAATTATTTTATGGCTTTAAACATCGCATAAATTAAACTGTGATTCAATTTTATTGTCTAATTGATACATTTCCTGATTATTATATTTTTTTTATTACTTACCTTTGATAAATTAAGTTGCCGTACATTTTTATATTGGTTTTCAATTATTTTTGTTTTTAACTTTTTGACACTTCAATATTATTTCAATAAGTCAGGTCTTTAAGATAAGAACAGCTTAAAATTTTTCTTCTTGCTGAGGCATTAGAGCTCCGGTAGCTGGGTGCTCGCCTCCAAATGAGGTGGTCGAGATTCGAATCCCTGTGTCAACTGGGTATTCGAATGATGTTCTCATCTTGCTTTGAGATGCTGATATAGCTATTTTTTAAAAAAAATTTGTTGTTGTTGTTAAAATAACTGTACTTATCTGCTTAAAAACAGGCGTCTGTTTTTATATAACAGTATTTTCCTGAAAAATATACGGTTTTATGCTGGCACACCAGTTGACAGTGTTTTTAGTAAATTTAATATATACAGGGTGTTTGTAAAGTCTCGGACCCGTTTTGATGTTTAATAACTCATAAAATAATAAAGATAGATTAAAATTAATAACATGGTTAGATAGACCCAAAAAGTTTCATGACCCTTGTCAATGAACTTCTACGTGTGTCCCCTTCGTCGCACGGAGAATATCGAGTCGATAGTCTATTTCACGCCAGGTAGCGGCAAGCATGTCGGCATCCACAGAGGCTATTGTGGTTGTAATTCTAGCTTTTAGGTCATCAATGTTAGACACGATTCTCCTGTAAACATTGTCCTTTATAAATCCCCAAAGAAAAAAGTCCAGCGGTGTTATATCAGGTGATCTGGGTGGCCAAGGAATTGGACCTCTTCGCCCAATCCATCCTCCTGGAAAATGGTCATTCAAAGAACTACGAACGATGATACCCTAATGAGGTGGTGCACCATCTTGTTGCAAAAAGACATGTGGCTGAAGTTCTTCTAGTTGTGGAAATACGAAGTTTTCCAACATGTCTAAGTATACGACTGATGAGACCGTCTTTTCTGTGAAAAGGAAAGGCCCAATGACTCGGTCGTGCATTAGTCCACACACACATTAACCTTTGGGGAATCCCTTTATGTCTCACGGTATTCATGGAGGTTTTCAGATCCCCATATGCGCACATTATGGCGATTAACATGCCAGAAACATGAAAGGATGCTTCGTCGTAGAACATTATGCGCTATCGACTTGATATTCTCCATGCGACGAAGGGGGTACACGTGGAAATTCATTGACAAGGTTCATGAAACTTTTTGAATCTATCTAACCATTTATGTTATTAATTTTAATCTATCTTTATTATTTTATGAGTTATTAAACATCAAAATGAGTCCGAAACTTTATAAACACCCTGTATTTTATAGTGTAATTTGATAACTTTTTGCTAAATAATTAGATAGCAATCTTATTTATTTTACGTCATAGCTTTTAATAATGACTGAAGAAAAATCGAGCGTTTATGAAATCTATCAGAAACAATAAAATAATTTAGTTGCTATTTAGGAAAAATGGACATTACGACGTTACGAAAGAAGTAAATAAAAACAATTTCGTGACTTTAGTGATAATTTTAAGTACTAGAACTACTATAAAATGATATATTAATGCACTTAGGATGCTGTTATAAAACAGAAACATATTTGCATTGTTTAAAATCTCTAAATTTCATTTACGAAATTAATCATTGTTTTGCGTAAGTAAATATAATCTGAACATAGATTGATGGTACGAACTAAGGCTTCCATTACACTAGAAATATCTGTTAAGAAAGGCCATATGATGTAGGTAAGCGTAGCCTTTTATTTCGCATTAAGGAAAATTAAGGTCCATAAACATAGCTCAAAGGAAACAAAGGGCGTGAATTGTTGTCGGGCATTTATTCTGTTGGGAGCCATTAATCATTCATCGCA